GGCTCAAGTGGTGGCGCGCTCTCCTGGCATGTGTGCGGCCCAGGTTCAATCCTCAGCACCACATACAAACAAAGATGTTGTGTCTGCCGAAAACTAGAAAATAAATATTAAAAAATTCTCTCTCTCTCTCTCTCTTTTTTTAAAAAAGGATTTATCTGTTGGTTTTTGGTTTGGTTTACTCAGGCATGGGGCATTTCCTTGGGAAGAGTGGCCTGGGGGACCCCTCTGAGACAGGCTGGGGTATGGATCCTGAGGGCACCCTGCATAAAGTTGGGAGGACCTCAGGGATGGGAGGAAGTCCCTGGAGAGCCAGACTTAGCCCAACTGGGCAGCATAAGCCTGCTGTATCCCCAGCTCCCCACACTTCCTGCCTTCCTGTGCCTGCTATTGGTGCAAATCCCCTGTTTAGATTTCCAGTGTCCCAGTCAACTTCATGATGAAGGCCTGGGTTTCACTTGTCATTAAACAATTCACCATCTGGTTTCTGATGTGAGCAAATGGGCTGTGGATTCACCTCCCCCAACCCTCACCTGTTAGCCATTCTAGTGCCCCTCACCTTTCTGCCCCAATTCCATGCTTCTCAACCTGGGCATCACAGACCCCAGAGGCCTCTGGAATTACTGCAGAGGCTCCATCAATCCACACGTTCAAATAGGTATGAGTGTTATGTTCCTTTGTTTTTATTTTATTTTTTTAAAGAAAGAGAGAGAGAGAGGGAGAGAGAGAGAGAGAGAGAGAGAGAGAGAGAGAGAGAGAGAGAGAATTTTTTAAATATTTATTTCTTTTTCAGTTTTTGGCGGACACAACATCTTTGTTTGTATGTGGTGCTGAGGATGTGGTGCTGAGGATCAAGTCCGGGCCACACGCATACCAGGTGAGCGCGCTACCCCTTGAGCCACATCCCCAGCCCCAGAGTGTTATACACTTTTGATATTGCCTGGTACTGTGTTTTCAAACACAATGTATTTTGCCGATCAAAGGATTCTAAAATTACGATTACATGGAAGAATTCTCCAAATTTGACCTTTAAAACAGCCCTTCCTACCCCTACAAGATTGGGAAACACTAATCAAAACCTTTATTTCCCCTAAAGAAAGGACCTGAGGGAGGCAGCTGGGGTCCTTTGGGTATTTGAGTATCCTTCCTTTGAATCAGAGAAGCCTGCTTCAAACTGCATCAAGGTGGGGGGTTGGCCCATTGCCTCCGAAGGAGACACCTCTCATCTCAGGCACTCCATCATGCTCCCCTGGTTCTCCAGATCCCAGAATGGATTAAGACCACACCCTCCTCACTCAGAACTTCTGCTCTCTCAAAGTACAGCTTTCAATACTTTTCTCCTGGAACTCCCTGGCTTCGTCAATCTTCCTTGTGAGGGACAACACAGATGAATTAATCAGGAGAGCCAATGAAGGAGGAAAATAATTTTTATTTTGAGACAAGTCTTGCTAAGTTGCTGAGGCAGGCCTAAGTTCTGAGGCAGGCCTTGAACCTGCAATCCTCCTGCCTCAGTCTCCCAAGTCACGGGGATTACAGGCCTGCAATACCACACCCAGCCAGAGAGGATTACAGGCATGCAATACCACACTCAGCCAGAGAGGATTACAGGCGTGCAATACCACACCCAGCCAGAGAAGCTTTTTAAACTTTTAGGTTTTGCAGACTACGTTGGGGACCCTGCCCCACAAACAAATGCAGGGTCATCCCTGATGCCCCCTGCCTGGGCATTCCCAGCCTCCTCTTTGGTGGCCCTCCAACCAGCCAGTTTGTAGGGGTAATTTTCTTGCCCTCACTAAAATTTGCCAACATGTTTATATGATATCAATGAGTAGTATTAACAACATGTTAATGTTGTTAAAGGTCAATTAAGCAAGAGATCTCCTAAAACAGAGGTCAGCAAACCATGGTCACAGGCCACATGAGGTCTCCCACCTATTTTTCTATGGCTTCAAATTAAAAATGGTTATCACATTTTTTTAATAATTGAAAAAAAATAAAAATAAAATGATATTTTATAACACATGAAAATTATGAGAAATTCAAATTTCTTTGAATTTCTTATTGAAATTATTATTGAACCCAGCTATCCCTATTCATTCACTACTGTCTATGACTGTTTTTAAGCTGTGGAGGCAGAGATGAACAGACTCGACAGAAGCCCCAAAGATTCACTATCTGGTCCTTTACAGAGAAGGTCGGCTGACTTCCTTATTAAAGTATGCTTAATGAAGGGGACCACCCTTGGGAGCACTGATGGCAGGCATGCCACCAAGCAAACTGGGGACTCTTGGACCTCTGAAATGGACAACACCATTTACCTGTGACCTTCCAGTACTGGGGGAACAAGTGTCTTGGCACTGAGAAAGATAAGGCCTCAGACTCCTAACCCCACTCAAGAGACAGGTGTTTTCCAGCCAAACTCTGCAGACCATAGGTGTCTGGGCCATCTTTTTTTTTTTTTTTGGTACCAGGGATTGAACCCAAGGGATGCTTAACCAATGAGCAACATCCCCAGCCCTTTTTATATTTTATTTTGAAATGGAGTCTCACTAAGTTGCTTAGAGCCTCGCTAAGTTGCTGAGTCTGGCTTTGAACTCCTGCCTCAGTCTCCCAAGCTGCTGGGATACAGGTGTGTGCCACCATGTCTGGCTTCACCAGACATTTTTTGATTCCAATAGAGAAAATACCTTCTAGGCACAGCATGAGCAAGGCCCAGGGCTGGGGTGGAGATGCCCTGATGAGCAAGGCCTTCCCAGGCTCACCTTGTCTCTGAACTAGTATCTGACAGTGAACCTGGCCTCAGCCTTTCAGCCCCTGATGGAGCTGCTCCTATACCGAGTGCCTGATGCTCATCATGCCTCTGCTGGAAGGACCAGCTCATTCCGTGTGGTCATGTGGCTCAGAGATGATCAGAAGGGAGGTCTGGGTACACATCCTGGCCCTCCTGTCACTGCCTTGGGCAAGTCATTGACTTTGAACCTGAACTATTCCATTCAGCAGATGGGAATGGGGCTACATGCTGCATAGGCCTGAGGAGCCCCTGAGTGCACTGACTTAGCTGTAAACCTCTCAGTGCCACCGGCAGCAGCTTGCCTCTGGGGCAACCCAGCCAATGCCTGCAGCCCCCCCCCCCCCGTCGCTAGCTCCCCAGCCCATGCTCACCTGAGGCTGCACACGAGCTCTGTGGGGCCGGTCACTGGGGTTATAGTCCCAGCAGCGAGTCATGAGGGTGTAAAGGACAGGTGGACAGAGGTCAGGCTTGGGCAGCCAGTCCCCTTTCTCCATGATGACATCCTTGTTTTCCAGCCATAAGAAAGGCTGCTTCCCAAAGCTCAGGATCTCCCACATGCACACGGCTGAAGGCAGAGGGGGAAGGTCAGGCACCCTGCTGGGAAGTGGGCACCCCAGGGACACTATGGCCATTAGCACTTGGTCCTAGCAGGGAATGTCTGTGTTATCTTGCAACTCCCTCTATGACCACTGGGATCTTACCCACAATGGTGGTCCACTCAAGGGACCAATGACCTACATCTGTGGTACATGAACCAGGGCTTCCCCTCCCTGACTCCCTCAACACGGAGCTGGCTGGATTCTGGAGGTTCAGAAGGTGGCCCATGTTGGAACCACCAGATCCTTCTTGGGAAGGTTAGGAGCTACAGTAGTAGGGCAGGCACCACCCCTTGCTGCCTGTATGATCATGGGCAAGCCCCTTACTTGTCTGAGCCTCAATTTCCTTATTTGGAAAATTGGGGTAACAATGATGAGGTTTATAGTCAGCTGTGGGAGAACTGGCAGGTAACCTGGAGTGCTATGTTTGGTGAGGTTGCCCATTCACACCCAGCTAGGCACTCTCCACTCCCTGCTTCTCCTTACATGAAACACCTGAGTTTTGTGTTTGAAGCTCCCCTCCAAGGCGTCCCCACATTTGTCCTTGGAGCTGGTTGGTGGGGTCCATGCTTATCAGAGCCTTTTACAGGAGGATGAACCCAGATTTTCTAGGCCAGTCCTTGGCTCATGTCACCCCTGACTCTACCACCACTTCCCCACCTCTGGGACTTCTCAGTGGCCACAGTGAAACGGGGTATTGTGGGTTCAGGGATCATCCTCCTCTTGGTACACCCACACAGAAAATTTGAGCCCATTTCCACAGTCTCCTGAATTGCCTTGTACCAAACATCCAGATGTCACTGGCTATCGTGAAGCGGTGGAAGTTAACGGATTCGGGGGACATCCATTTAATGGGGAGATGAGTCACAGAGGCTTGGGGTGGGCAAAGAGGTTTACAGGCGTTATTAAGGGAAGAAAGATCTAGAATTTTCCAGAAAAACAGCCTACTGTCCAGAGGCCCATGGTCTGGGCTGCAGAATTGTAGGCTCCTTCTGGGATTTGGTTTCAGGGACAAAGCAGGGGCCGGAAGTTCCCTCACCCTTGTAATACTCGTCATCCTCAATGTATCGAGAAAGGCCAAAGTCCCCCAGCTTCACACACTCCGGGGAGGCCACCAGGATGTTCCGGATGGTGATATCCCTAGAGAAGGATGTGGAGACCAGGGTAAGGCACTGCCTAGGACCCTGGGGCAGATGGGGGAGCTGAAGGAAGGTTCCCAGCAGGTGAGTGCAGAAAGAGGTTGCGAACAGGTAGCTTCCTGCGAGCTGAGCTCTCCAGCCTCCTAGAGGATCTACTGGTACTGATGGTCTTGGTCCTGGCATGGCTCCACACCCCAAACCAGTGGGCCTGTTGGCTTCTTGCAGGCAGCTCTGCTCCCAGAAGTCTGCTTCCATTGTTAAAAAGCTGACTTGAAAGCATGCAGGCTTAAGTACCCCAAGGGGCCTGGCCCATCATTCCACTCCCTTAGCCTACAGCCACTGACAGGGTGTACCTGACGCCATGCTAAGAAATGAGCTTCATAAGGACAAGGTTTGTCTGTTTTGGTCACAACTTTGTCCCAGAACCTAGAACAGTGCCTGGCACCCAGGAGGAGCCCCATAATACAGGCCCAGGCAGGGACTCCAGCTCCTCCCTGTGGGACTCTGGCCCTGCTCCTCAGTTTCTTCTGGGGTCAGGGATGGGCTTGGCTTTCCTGCTATCTCTGTGTAACCACCTGTACACACAGCTGATGCTCTCCAGGTAGGCCATAGCTTTGCATATCTGCACCGCGTACAGGACGAGGGTGGGCACCTTCAGGGAGTTCTTATTTTGCTCTAGATAGTGGCCCAGCTGTGGGGAGGGAGGTGCCGTCAGGATCCCAGCATGGAGCCAGGGCTGCTGGCAGCCACTGACCCCCCTTCCTCTGGGGGCAAACCCCAAGTCAGCAAGATGTTCTGGCGACTTCCTCTATCAACAGGGCCTCTGCTTCTGCTGAGCATGGAAGGCAGGAAACTGGGAGAAGTGTCTTTTGCTCCCTTGGTGTCCCAGCTATCTTCAGGGTGCCTGGCCTACTTCCTCCAGCTCACCTCCCCATAGGAGTACAGTTCCATGATGATCCAGGTGGGCTCCTCTTCAAAGATGCCAATCAGCTTCACGATGTGGGGGTGGTCGAGATTCTTCATGATCACTGAAGTGGGAGCAGGAGGTCACACAGGAGAATGGGGGAAAGCGGGAGGAGAACCCGCCCCTCTCCCCTCCCTTAGAAGGCCAGGGAGTCTGGGCCCCACCCAGGCGTGCCTACCTGCCTCCCTCATGAACTTCTCCTTATTGTCCAGGGTGCAGTCCTTCTTGGAGGTCTTGACAACCACATTGATTTTCTCCCCTTTCTGCAACAAGGGGCTTTAGGGAAGCCTGGTCCAGCCTAGTGCTCAAAGGAAACCGTTCCCGCCCTGGCCTCAGCAGGGCCTTCCCACAGACTTTGCCGACTGCTGAGGGGCGAGGCGACCTAGCCTCTGCAGGACACACCACCCCTTCCTTTCTTCCATTTCTCTCCCCTTTCCCCTTCCCTTCCTCTTCTTCCCCTTTCTTCTGGACCAAGCTGGGTTAGAACCAGAATGGGGTTTGGAGATCAAAGAGCTCAAGCCCAGCTGTGCAGACCAAGATGCTGAGATGAGGGGCCGCATGATCTGCCCTGGTTAGCTGGTGACCTCAGGCCTTCATGAAATGTGGGCTGGCTGGCTCTGTTCTCTCTACACTTGGCTTCAAACTGTGCTTCCTTCCTTCCCTGCCCACACCCCGGCGCTGCCCTCCCCAGGCTTGCTGAGCATGGCCACAAAGGCAAAGCCTGTCCATCTAGAGGTGCCCCGGATGAACTCCCACTTGGCTGGGTCCACCCTCCTGCCCTCTGTGTATTCCCCTACCAAAGCCTCACTCCCAGACAGGTGGACAAACAGTTGGGAAGAGTCTGGGACTCACGAGATTTGTGTGGACCCCTTCATAGACCTCCCTAAAGAAGCCTTCTCCTAGAATACGGTTGAGAACCACATCCTCATGGGCAATGCCGTACTGTGGACCTGCACAGATGGAGAACACAGCCTCTGGGCACACAGACTAGCTGGCATCCCCTGGTGCCCCAGAACCCCATAACACCTCAGCCAAAATGCACAGGCTGGGCTGGGAAAGGCGATCTAGAACGTTCCACTGCCTCAGATTCATGGAGGAGCCATCACCCCATTTCCTGGGTCCCAGTTCCATGTTCTTAGAACCCCCATATCCCACAGACACACAAAAGCACACAATCCATCAGAGGAGGAGCTCATCTTTCAACCCACAAGAGCCCGGGTTGGCTGCTGCCTGAGCACACTTGGGGCAGGAGGAAGGGAGGGCAGGAAGCTCCAAGGTGGTGTCCCAGGAGTCCTCATCATGTCACTTCCCAGACCCCTGACTGGTCGCTTTGGCAGGGTCCAGGACCTACCTCCCGGCCAACTCAAGGTCTCGATGGGAATTTCTGCATAGATGTCTGACTCTGGAACGACAGGAGGATGCYCAGCACACAGGTGAGATGCCTCATCAGGCAAGGAACCGGTGTGTGGCTCCCACCTGGAGCCCAGCACAGCCAGAGGTCAGGGTGCTGAAGGGGGAAGCTGGGCAAGTCCGCGGCTCCAGTCCCAGGCTTTGGGGCAGCCACTTAGCCTGAGGTGTCTTGGCTCAATGCCAAAAGCCAATGTCTCGGCTTGGCACAAGATCACGAGCCACCACACAGCTTTGTAGGTTCAAACAGCAATTCTTTATTCCCGAACTCACACCGGCCTCCAACAAACACGTTCTGGTGAAATCTCCAATATGCCGCCACCCCCAAATCCTACTCCACGAGGCTTTTTCCAAATCCCATTTGAATCTCACGAGAACTCAATGGGAACAAGCAGCCGGAACACCCTAATCCCAGCAGCAATAATCTTCAACCTCCAACTTCCCTAAAACTCCTATTGTCATGCCCTAAACCCAAGGATGGGGATACTTCCTTCAGGAATACACCCTAATCCTGGATCCACCCTGGTGATTGAGCAGGGTCATCTTTCTCAAACACACAAGCAAGGTCACAGCAAATTTCCAAGGCAAGTCCATTTAACATGGGGTACACTGGCAAGGATTATGATGCGTCATTCCTACTTGGTAATGGCTCTCAGCAGCTCAAGTCTCTGTTTTGTTATCTAGGGCAAATCCATCTCCTTCAAACATTCCTATTACCCATTTAACACCATTATGAACTGGGTGCTTGTGTCTCGAAGCCCTAACTCACAATTTGATGGTTTTAGGATATGCAGCTTGGAGGGGCAATTAGATGAGGTCAGGGAGTGGAGCCCCCATTACAAGATTAGTGTCCTTATAAGAGGAGGAATGGCCACCAGAGTTCCTTCTCTCTGCACCACAGGAGCACACAGTGATAAGGCAGTCACCTGAATCTGTTGGTTCCTTGACCCTGGGCTTGCCAGTCTCTGGAACTGTGAGAAATCAATGTCTGTTTGTAATCATGTGGTCTGTGGATTTTGTTTGGGGCCACCTCTTATTATGACAAACTCAGTATGTGTACTGATTACTCAATATATGCTTGCTATTACAAATGGCGATATTTTAAAGCCAGCTCTGAGAAGGGATAGGAAAGGTTGTTTTCTGTAACTTGGAGGGAATGGTCAGAAGAGCAGGCACAGGAACCAAACATGGGGAGGTGGGCACAGGCCGCAGGCAGGGTGGGCAGGCTTACCTATGCTGCAGCTTTCTGAGAGGTGGGACCACCTTGCCTCCAGGTTTCTCCAGGAGGTGAGAGGGCAGGAGGCAGTGAACACAGAGCTTGCAAAGCTCCCCCAGAGCTTTGGTCCCCCTCACCCACCGCCCAATAGCAGAAGCAGCCCACCTGGCTGCAACAAGCTGGGGCAAGGCCTGGGCCTGGGATGGGGCTCAGCAGCAATCCTCCCAGGATGTCACCAGGGGGAAACATGGAGGACAACACACTGTGGGAAAGGCCAGGGTCTAGAGTTCTCTCAAATATGAGGGGGTGGGGGCACCCTGCTTGTTCATCCGCCTCCCAGCACACACTGGCTGAGCTCAGGGCCCTTYCAAATCCCCACTGTACTCACAGGGTAGGGATCTGGGGCAGGCTGTTCCGCTTCTCACCATCTGGAGAGAGAGGAGGGGAGGAAAGATTGGAGCCAGGAACACATAGTCTGGGATGGATGGAGGGCCTTTCACTGTTCCACAAGGAGACCCCTCCCCACCTTCTGTCCCCTCTCAGCATCAGGGTGGAAGCTATGTAGGCCTTGGGCCAGAATCAGATCCTCCTTGTAGGCTTCCTCCTGCCAGCACCCCGTGATCCATCTCAGACCTATTTGCTGACCCTGGTCCCAAAATGAGGAAGGTCCACCCATGTCCTAGCAATGGCTCTGATCTCCCTAGTACTACAAATGCAGCTCTTCCAGAAGCTGGCCTCTATAAAGCTCTGACCAGCAGGACCAGGGGTGGCTGACCAGGACCAGGGCCTGTAGCTGGCGACCCAGGATGGCCCCACAGGAAGCACCTGCAGGGCTGCTTGAGCGCCTCCTCACACCCCTGAAGAACGCATTTGCTCAAGAGCCAATGGCTCCACGCCCCGATGCCTCCACATCGCCCTGCAGGCTTGGCTCAGTGTGCAGCTGTCCACTGTGCCTTTCAGAGAAACCTACCTTTCTTGGGATGGATGATGAGAGAGCCTTTATGTTCCCCCTGAAGCCGGCAATAACCATCTATGAGGTCAGCCATGTTCTCAGCCTCTGCCAGAGACGAGGTTTTAATGGACAAAGACTGCAGAGAAAAAGCAAGTCAAAGGTGAGACCTCAAGCCTTGGCTACACTGTACCCCCTAGTGCTGCTTGAGAGGCTGCAGGACCCCCATCCCCAACCATGCTGCAGGATCCCCAACCCTAACCCACACTTCCTCTGGGCTCTGCTGGCCTTCCCTGTTGCCACTAAGGGACGTGCTTGTGCTCCCTCTCATGGACCACCCTGAGCTCTGGGAAGACCAGTGAGAAAGCAGGATGCCTCGTACCACATGGGGTGCTCCCTATGTAAAGCAGAAACTGAAAAATGGAAAACAGAGTGAAGCAGGGACAGACTGGGGAGAGCAGAGATAGATGCTCTGCAGTTGGAGGTCTCTGATTCTTCCACCATGAAATCCCCCCGTCCCTGGGATCTTGACCTATAAGTCATTTTTCACTTGGACAATATTAGACCCCACTTCTTTCCTGACATTAAAATAAAAATACAAAYCATCATCCCAGCACCTTGGTGGGGCATGGGTGCAGTTTTCTTAACAAGATCCCCAAAGYCACTGAAGCCCTGGCTTCCTGCTTGCCACAGTCATGTYGACCCAAGGGCATCCTAACCCATAGTGATACCYMTGAAGAGACTCCAGGTGTTCAKACAGGCTTACCTGGGGTGCGCCTTCAATGCCCAGCTGCAGGACRGCCTGGCCCTCCTCCAGCAGGAGGCACCTGATGGACCTGATTTGCTTGAACTCAACCAGGCAGGTGGGCTGTGGATAAGAAGGGGGCCTTAAGAGCATCCCATTGCTGGGATCAGGCAATACAGATGGGTCAGGAGGGGGAGGGAGGAGCGACTGGGAGTCTCTCTGCAGATGAAGGGAGAAAGTCTGGAAAGATCATCGAGTCCAAGGCCCTCACCTTTCAGAAGAGAAAATGGGGTGTGGAGAAAGACAGGACTTGCCCAAGGTTATACGTCAAGGTGGCAGTAGAGTTAGAACTGGACCCAGAACTGCCTCCCTTTGCCACTTACAGAGCTACTCTTCTCTCTGTACCAGGAGAATGCCAAGCATGTCCTTTTCTCTCTCTCTGCACCTATGTCTGCAATAAGGAGCCATCTGCCCAAGCTACCATCCCCAAACACTGTCCACAAAGCTCATGCCAAGGGCATGGCTCTCTGCTTTCAGGAACGGGAGAAGAAGAATGATTGGTCAGACAGAGAAGGAGTTGGAAATCTAAGACCCTGAGCCAGGGGCTGGCATGGCCTCAGTGCTCTCTTCCTTTGCATCTTGACTTGTCAGCTGGTGGATGCCTTTGGGGACAATGACCAGGTCCACTGTAATGTTCCACCCTTGCTGGAATAGAGGAGAGAGGGGCTGTTACCTCTGTTCTGCCACCTGGTGTGTTGACACTCTAAGAAAGGCTCATTAAGCTAGACAGGGACCACTGTCTCTACAGCTCACCCCTCTGGATAACTGCCCACCTGCCCACCTCCCACAGCTGGAGGCAAACATTCAGCTCCCTGCTCGGCACATGGATTAACATGAGTTCCGCCATAGGCAGGTAACAGCAAGGCCCTGCTGCCTGAATTCTGTTCCTGGCCCCAAATAGCTCCCTGGCCCCCTAGCCTGCCAGGCCTAGAACCCAGGCCCAGAGAATATAAGGAGGGTGGTCATTACAACAAGTTCACAGTGATAGGTCTACTGATCGATGTTAGCAAAGCCCACCAGGGTGTTGAAGAACTTCATGACACACTCCTCCTCCYGGAGTGAGGCGTACTGCTGGAAGGTCTGCTGGATCATCTTCCGGAACTGCTTGGGCTGGGGAGAGGTTGGCAGTGCTGAGCCAGGCCCTGCCCCTCCTGGCACCTGTCCTTCAACTAGGCCTCACTGAGAGGATGCCCATGCTGGAAGATGCCCCCAGGGCTCCTGCCATGGCAGCAACACTGACCTGTTCCTCAAACCACACTCAGTGGTCTCGGGTGTCCACCCTAACCCTGAGCGGGAGGCAGGGAAGTCAGCCTCCCAGGGCTCAGGCTGCCTCTTGGGAGGCTAGAGCCAAGCACAGCCCGTCCTGATTCTCCACCACAGAAGTGGCCCACTGGGGGCATTTGTCTGTCCTATGTCCTGGCTCAAGACAGCGCAGATGCCCCAGCTTCTTTGAGGATCCCCAGCCCAATCCTTGTATTTCTAGCCCAGGGGATCTGCACAAAGAAAGGTTTTCTGGGCCCCTCACCCTTTGATTTTCTCACCTTTAAATTCTCCTGCATCTGCTTTGGGAAAAACAGGGAGAGTCCCACTTCTTTTCTGAAAACAAGRAAACAGAAGCAGCATTTGACTCTCCTTCCCTCCAGCTCAAGACTTCTGGCTAGTCGGGAGGAGGTACCAGGGCTTGGGGATAAGGCCCTGACTATCCCGCTATGGTCCAGGGCTGAGTGGGAAAGGAGGCTCTGGAGGGAAGGAGGGGAGGCGGGTMAGGAGGCAGCCCTGCACTTACTCCAGGAGCTCGAAGTTGGACTTCTTGTCCAGGCCGTTGTGCGGCATGTCCTTGAAGAACCGCCTGGAGAGAAAGGAGTCATGGAGGGGAGAGTCAGTAACTGGAGAAGAAGGCCATCAGGGCCTTAAAATAAAATAAAATAAAATAAAATAAAATAATAAAATAAAAGTCACTCATGCCCAGATATTGGCCTGGAGGCCCTTCCCCTTCCAGAGGTGGGATTCGCCAGGAGGGAGCAAGGCAGCAGGGGGGTAAAATTGTATCTTTAGAAAACAGCAAGGACAAGGAAATCCCATAGACTTTGTTCCCAGAAAGGCACCATCCTCGTGCTCTGGGAGACCCAGCTCCTGAGCTGTGGGCTCTGAGGCTGAGGAATAAGATGGTGGCCAAGCCCAGGAGGCTGGGGATATCACCTGCACCTTCAGGTCCTGGGTTCCTGGGCACTTTCTTTTTACCTATTTGCCATCTCTGAAATGTGTGCATATGTTTGTGTGTTCACCTAAACAATTATTAAATGAACAYGTTAAAATTTTTGAATTTGTAAAAGAAAATATAAATAATCCATAATTCTACCAGCAGAGGTGGCATCTATTAATATATGACACATCTTCTTCAAGTCCCATTTCTCCTAAAAATATATGCATTCATGAAAACTTATAGGTACTGTCAGATGCCACATAATGACCTTTTTGTCAACAATGGACCACAGATATCATGGCAGTCTCATAAGATTACTCACCTAGAATCATAGCTGTCTTTGTTTGCGTAAATGGACTCTATTTTTGTTAATGTGAAGGTCATACCTGTGATAGGYGGTCAGACTCTGGGTGATGCAGGGAAGCTCGAATCTCCAGGAGGAAGTGGGTCCCTCCATCCTCCCTATCCTTTACTCCCCTTCACCATAGCATGACATTATCCCAACTGGGAACATTTCTGGATACAGATTTACTGTGAGTCCACATCAGGCTTTAAAAATTCATGCATTAGATATTGTAGGAGGTCTAAGTCTAGGATGCCACTTGGATTTTCTAGAAGATTCTGAGGATTGGGAGTGCTGTGGGGAGGACCTCCAGGGCCTCCCCACCCCACATTCCTACCTCCACTCGGCCTCCACGTGTAGACATTCATACTTGTCCTGCACCTCACCCACCTTCATCTGGGGGTATAGCCAGTGGTTCTCATCTGACTTCATGTGCTTTAGCCTCAGTCCATAGCACTCAGCCAGCTGGATGTTGGGCCCAATCTGCCCACTTAGCAGGATGGAGGTGATGATCTCCTGCAGAGAAGAGAGGGACACAACTCAGGGGTGTTCCTTGCTGGGCTCCCCAGGGTGTGATTCTCTAGGGTGGGATTCTGCCTTAACAATGTACTTGTTTCTGATTCCCTAGCACTTAGTGCAAGATGTGGTACACAGTGAGCTGTATTGTGAATGAACAAATGCTGTTCATTTAGTCAAAATGAGACAGAGACAGAACTGAGGAGACAGCACAGGTGCTGTGCTTCTGCACTGCATTCCAGTTGAACCAGTTAATACTCATTGAGCACCTGCCATGTAAAAAAGCACCTTCTTAATGGTTCCCAAGTTCACCATCCTTACTGAGTACCAGACCAGGCACTGCTAGATACTTTACACACACATGATTTCACTGAATCTGTACAACATGGGGAAACAAGCAGGTGTCACTGTCCTTGT